CCTCAAGTTTTCGAACTAGGTCGGATAATTCTATTGGTTAAAAGATCATTAACGGTTTCGGAAACTATTTCTCTCTCACGATATGACAACCTTCTAGGGGCACAATAGAATGGTGTAGAATCAGTAAGACGAATGCTCATTTTGCATTTTGGCACACCATAACTTTTAGAAAACCTATCAATGTATTGTTTATATATTATTTCACGACACTCTCGCATTGAGGCACCACCAAACTCACTGCCTACCTTAACTACGTCATCTTCATTCGATACCCTACAATTCGCAAAATCTTGCATCCATTCCTGAAATATCTGAGGCTTTGCCGGGGTTGCAGGTGCGTTTACATGTAAATAATTTTCTCTACTTGTCATTATGTTGTTATCTAACTTTTATGAAATATAAACATTTTTGAATATTTTTATGGGCTTACACTATTAATATAGCCGAAAATTATACAATGTGTTCAATTTAAAAATTTTAAAACGTAATATGCAGATTTATCAGTCTAATAAAAATAAGAAGGTAACATATACAAATAATAAATTAGTCTTGTTACATCAAGTACTTTTAGATTTTTTTTTTAATATTTTAGAAAATTCAGGTGTTCCATTAATGTGACATGGCTGACTTCCGCAGTCGGCCATTTTGCCAGGCAACAGCAGTGGCAAACGCTTAGCCAATCAAAACGGAGTATGAGAGGTAAGAACAAAATGGCGAAACTCCAATAGGTAGAAATAATTACGCATTATGCTTGCCCTAGAAAAGTAAAGATTACTTAATTTAAATTTAATATTTTGCAAATAATTTTCACTTTTAAATATATGACAAATTGAAATTTTAATAATCAATTGCATAACTTCCTTGGGGGGCCCAGCAGAATGCCAAGCTTTGCGTCGCACTCGGCCCGAGTGAGCTTTAGCTCCTCCTCTTCCTCATCCTCGGCGTCGGATTTGGGCTTCTCCTGGGCAGCTTTGCTCCTTTTCGGAAGCGTACCACTGAGACCGCTTGCCGGGCTGGCCGGGTCTCTTCCCCTTTTTGCCGAATCGGCGGTATCAGGGGGATCGCCGCTTCCACTCCTCTCTGTCGCCGGTAATGGCGCGGGGGGTGGGGATCGGACCATCCGGCTGTTTTTCCCAAAAGCAGCTGCGTATCCCATGTCCGGGATCTTCTCCTGGCTTGATGCAATACCTACCGTGATGGCCAAGTCGGCCACCGCCACGTTAGGGGGTGTTGGAAGGTTAGTTAGGGCCTTCAGAATTCGTGCCCTGGCCGCGGGATTTCCCGCGGGTGGATATCCACTTTTGTGGCTGCCACCTGGAGTAGTAATGATATTTACTGACATTCCAATTTGGTGCATTGTTGCCCATGCTCGGCTGCATTTTATACCTTCTGCCAGGTGCTGTCACTGCCGGCCACTATGGCTCAGACGCAGACCAGGTAGCCGCCCATTATGGGACAGACGCTTCCCCGTGGCTAACCAGGTGGACCGTTTGAAAATATGTATGTGTCGTGTAGGCGAATGGTTCGTCCAGTTTCGAATTGTGCAAGTGTTAGTATTGTGTAACGTCTCGTCCTAGTAAAAGGGGCGGGAAGTTCAAACTAAAATTTTCTCTGTTACGTGTGTCAGTGGGCCGGGTCAAGAACCCACGCCCTCGAGGGCTAGCCGAGGCATGGCCCAAGCTCTACAATAGCTGGTTACACTAAGGCGCGTAATAATAAAATGAGGTGTTTACAATGTATGTATAGTTGTAATTTTGGGTAGTGCTCTTCTCGTCTTGGGTTCGGCGGTGGAACCTCGGGCTTGGATGTCCGGGTTCGGAATTTAATATTTCGGGTCGGAAAGCAGAAACTGCGATTTGGGGTTGGGGCCGTTTTTTTTTCGTTCTTTAAATTTAATTTTAAACTTTAGTTTTTTTTTTAACATCCCGCCTCTACGAGGACTAGATCTCATCTGCTTGCCCTCCCTTTTCTTTGGAGTCTGCTAGCAGAATTTACTTGTAGCTGCCCCTATTTTCTTCATACATAAAACAATTACCTTACGCCATCGCTTCCTTCCTCCTTCCCATAAAGAAAACCATTCCATGTTCGTCATTTCAACTTAGTTTAATTATAAATTTTGTTTAAAAATAAAGTTTGTTGTTTTTTTGGATTTTGACTCGCCTAACTCTCCTTTTTGTAATAATTTTGTTTTTGTTTTGAGTACGTTTAGCGAGCGTTGTTTTCTGCAAAAAAGAGGTCCGCAAAAATTCAAACGATTGGAGAAAAAAGAATACGGAACAAGTAGAGAAGTCTGATGTTGAAAGTAGTGAAGACAATTTCGGAGAGTCTGATATTTTTGAAAATATCGAAGACGATTGCGAGGTTCCCATTGATTCCGAGATAAATGAGGATTTTAACGTCCGCTTAGCGCAGTGTTTTTCAGCTAATAATATTGGGAGATGCGCAGCCAATGACCTTCTGTCACCTTTGTCCCAAAAAATTCCCTTTCTGCCAAAAGATGTTCGGACATTAAAGTCGACTCTTACAGAACTTTCTAAACAAGTTATGGCTCTTGTCGAGTACATACACTAGTGGTGTAAAAAACGCTCTAAACGATTTTTTGATTAATTTTAGCTGTTTTTCTAATAATACAAGATTAAATATCAATGCGGACGGCTTACCCCTCTTCAAAAGTTCACTCAAACAGACATGGCCAATTTTGATAATGTAATCATACAAAACCAGTAATGGTAGCGGGTATATATGTAGGCAATTCTAAGCCCCAAGACCCAAATATTTATCTGGAAGAATTTTTCAGAGAGTTGCGTGATTTAATTCAAACCGGCATGACATTTAAAGACAGACACCTTTCAATTTCAGTAAGACCATTTACATGTGATGCGCCAGCCCGAGCGTTTACTTTGGGTGTGAAACACCACTCAGGTAATTATTCCTGTAACCAGTGCCTTCAGAAAGGCGAACGTTTTCAAAGACGCAACTGTCCGAGAACCTTCCTCGAACAGATCATAGCTTCAGAAACCGATTGCAGCCGGAACAGCATCATTTGATCACATTTAATTTAATCTAACAATTTTGTATTTTTACAGAAATTATGAACTTGTTGGGGCGTCTTTCGACAAAGGTTACTTCATTAAGCCTCTATTAAGGCAAAGGTGTGCGGGGAGGCTCATAAGCCAAAATGTATTATGCCGCAGAACGCCATTAAAACTCTAGAGGACCTAAAGAGTTTTGAGCGCACCCTCAACAATTCCAACATTTTATTAATTATTATTTACTTATAATAATTAATTACCACCGCTTTTATGAACAAATTCACGTCGAAAGACGCTGACTTCGACAGAAACAAAAGCCAGAACGTTATAGTTCTTACCAGAGAAAATGTGGCGGGTGGGATATAAACACCAAACTTGATGCAATTAAATATAAATTACTCATTTCCGAAGAAGTAATATTTAATCTGATTCGGTTCAATTATTATCTTCATCAATAACTGTAAAGGTAAAACAAATACACAAATTAAATAAATACCCGTTTTGCATACATTTCCCAAAATCTAGGAGTCGTAATATATAACAAAACCAAGTGTATGCATTATAAGTACATACATTATATGTACATATTGCCTATTGCCTCCGTTTGGACCGGGCGCGTCGGAGGCTTGCGCAGCCGCGTGGTGCGAGACACCGGAGCCGTGATAGTCAGGCAAATGCACTGGTCGCGTGTTGAGCTGGACGGTTGCAAGTGACTTCACAGGGTAGTGAGACATTAGGTGCCTAACAATTTCGAAAAAAAAAGCGACATACGATACTTTCGCGGAAATGCGTCGATATGGAGACGATGAGCACACATGTGAGGGCATTTTAATCGTTGTATACTAAGGCGCGTAATTTGAATTTAAATAACTGAAATCGTCGGAATTCCAGAAATTTACAGTAATAACGTAATATATTCCACGCGTATATACCACCTTTGTTACAAAAAATTTGTCTATGACAAAAAAGTTCGATTTTCGTTTTAAATTTTGCCGCCCCCAAAAATTTGCCACCCTGTGCCTAAGCACCGAGAGCACTTAGTGTAAATCCGGCCCTGCTCCCTGCCACTATTGGAATTTTTTAGTTCTTCAATCTCATCCTTGAGGTCTTCGATTTGCTCCTCATAGCGACGCTTTTGAGCAGAGAGCTGTGAACGATCGGCTATTAGTATTTAGGAATATTTAAAACAAAGAAAATCGCCTTACCTTAAAGTCTGCTTCCCTTCCTGCAATCAGCAGCTTCTTCTCGCACTCATCCTCGTGCTGTTTCTTGTTGTTTTGGATTATCTCCTGGTAAATTTCGGTCAGTTCCTTGCGCAGCTTCTCTTCCAGCAACTGCATTTGCAGCTCATGATCGTGCTTAAGCCGCTCAACCTCCAGTCGCAGGTAAACAATCTCATCCTCCAGCTCCTTGGCATACTCATTACCTCCCTCATCAGCTGCCATTTTCGAAAACTCAATGAAGCCAGCATAGCTAATTCGATGCTGCTTGATCACAGGCTCCTTGAACACTATATTCTTTGCAATAGAGGCAAAGTTTAGAACATTCAGATTCTCCTCGTAGTATTTGTCCACGGGAGTGACCGTGACGATCATGGCCATCTTCTCCTTGCCCGCCAGCGCCGCCAGCAGCAGCATCGTTAGCTTGGAGTCCCGATACGGTATGACATCAGCGTTCTTCTTTTTCTGGGCTGTGCTGGCCGCATTCAGGCAACGGCCCAGGACCATCAGTGAAGTGTTAATGTTCTTGGCCTCCTTGAGCCGCAAGCCAGTGGTGCCAGTGTTGTTCACCCGCTCGGAGCCCGCCAGGTGATGCCCGATCGGTTATACTTTAGTATGTCTATGGTAAAGACCCAATGCGATCGGCTGGAGTTGGCGTTTACTGAGGTGGCGGCGTATGTGGAACGCTGCTGACTCAATCGCAGCAATTTCAAGGCTTCCTCGCTGCTTTGAGCCATTACTAAATCAAATGAATTCCCCAGGCGATGATGTGAGCGCTGGCATCATTCCCCGTGCTTTGGAGAACATTTTCACCATCTGCAAGGACACGGTGTATTACTCGCCCAAGTTAAAGCTGATCAATGGCTGCATTGTCTTTCTGCAGGACGACGCCTCCCTCAAGGAGTTGCAAATCCGCAAGAAGCTGCTGGATCTGTGTCCTGACATGGGCGCTTCTTATCAGCGCCTAAGTCAGATGATCAACGAAGATCACACGTTCGAAACGAAGGCAAACAGCGACGAGTCTGTCCTGATTTGGGTGTCATTTGTGGAAATCTACAATGAACTGGTGCACGACCTTTTGGCCATTCCACCGAAGCAGACAAAGATGGCCGAGGGGCCGCGAACGAACCTGAAGATCGTGTACAATAAGGGTCATGTGTTTGTCAAGGGGCTGACCAGTGTCTTCGTTAAAAGCAGCGAGGAAGCCTTGAAATTGCTGCGATTGGGTCAGCAGCGTTCCACATACGCCGTCTTTACCGTAGACTTACTAAAGTATAACCGATCGGGCATCACCACACAGAGCTCGTACAAGTTGTGCGACCTGGCGGGCTCCGAGCGGGTGAACAAAACTGGCACCACTGGCTTGCGGCTCAAGGAGGCCAAGAACATTAACACTTCACTGATGGTCCTGGGCCGTTGCCTGAATGCGGCCAGCACAGCCCAGAAAAAGAAGAACGCTGATGTCATACCGTATCGGGACTCCAAGCTAACGATGCTGCTGCAGGCGGCGCTGGCGGGCAAGGAGAAGATGGCCATGATCGTCACGGTCACTCCCGTGGACAAATACTACGAGGAGAATCTGAATGCTCTAAACTTTGCCTCTATTGCAAAGAATATTGTGTTCAAGGAGCCTGTGATCAAGCAGCATCGAATTAGCTATGCTGGCTTCATTGAGTTTTCGAAAATGGCAGCTGATGAGGGAGGTAATGAGTATGCCAAGGAGCTGGAGGATGAGATTGTTTACCTGCGACTGGAGGTTGAGCGGCTTAAGCACGATCATGAGCTGCAAATGCAGTTGCTGGAAGAGAAGCTGCGCAAGGAACTGACCGAAATTTACCAGGAGATAATCCAAAACAACAAGAAACAGCACGAGGATGAGTGCGAGAAGAAGCTGCTGATTGCAGGAAGGGAAGCAGACTTTAAGGTAAGGCGATTTTCTTTGTTTTAAATATTCCTAAATACTAATAGCCGATCGTTCACAGCTCTCTGCTCAAAAGCGTCGCTATGAGGAGCAAATCGAAGACCTCAAGGATGAGATTGAAGAACTAAAAAATTCCAATAGTGGCAGGGAGCAGGGCCGGATTTACACTAAGTGCTCTCGGTGCTTAGGCACAGGGTGGCAAATTTTTGGGGGCGGCAAAATTTAAAACGAAAATCGAACTTTTTTGTCATAGACAAATTTTTTGTAACAAAGGTGGTATATACGCGTGGAATATATTACGTTATTACTGTAAATTTCTGGAATTCCGACGATTTCAGTTATTTAAATTCAAATTACGCGCCTTAGTATACAACGATTAAAATGCCCTCACATGTGTGCTCATCGTCTCCATATCGACGCATTTCCGCGAAAGTATCGTATGTCGCTTTCTTTTCGAAATTGAGATTTTAATGCAAAATTGTTAGGCACCTAATGTCTCACTACCCTGTGAAGTCACTTGCAACCGTCCAGCTCAACACGCGACCAGTGCATTTGCCTGACTATCACGGCTCCGGTGTCTCGCACCACGCGGCTGCGCAAGCCTCCGACGCGCCCGGTTCAAACGGAGGCAATAGGAGGCGCGCCGCTTGCACTGCTAACGCTTGCCACATTTTTTTGCGCGTCCACAAACCCATCACTGTATTTAATATCGACCGTAAATCACCAAATCAGAATGTCCCACTTCTGATGTCGGAGATAACCGTTTTTTAGTTTAACCGTAGTCGAGCTAGCCAGTTCTGTTCGCCTGCGCAGTCAAATCGTATCTGTCATCACGCCACTTTTCCTGTGGCCCTTTCACCTTTTCTTACTTTTCAGACGTCAATCTTAGACAATCTCAAGCTGTCTCTCTCACTCTCTCCTATTGTTGCGACAGACGAACATACCTCACTCAGTAACAGACAGTCTTCTGTCCTTGTCCTGTTACCGACTCACCTGTCATTGCGCCTGCGCGCCAGCGCGCCAGCGACACCTACAGGGCTACCAATACCTGAGCATGACGAATACCTCTGTTGCCATAGCAACAAGCATTCCAAATTTGCACTTAGCAACCAACTCGCCGACATATGTATGTAAATTAGTAAATATTATTTCTCAACTGTGTATTGCCGACGGCAATAGAGATTCCTCAGACGGTCCCTCGCAGTTGCAGATATAGATCGGGAGCGGGTGATAATATTCGCCGCTCTGTTGCAGGCCGGTTGGCCTAAGGCTTCTCCAAGGTAAGTTACAGCAGATGACCCACAGGGCGCAGGGGACGTGTCCGCTGCGATGGTCACTAGCCGGTTGGCTGATGAATCTCCCAAACAAGTGATGAAGATTACGGTGGAAGGGGGACTACCCTTCTTTAACTACTGGCCTAGAGACTCAGAAAGTTTTCAAATGATAAATCTTTAACGACGGTAGTCGGAGTATGATAAATCGAGCAGCAGCTCTTTATTGTATGAATATAAAATCAGAACTGAACTTAAAAGCTAACAAAAGTGAATATCATAGCGGCCACTCCAATGGGCAGTGCTTGCCGGCTATGCATGAGCTTCCGGCCAGACGCTGTGTCAGCAGTTTGGCCGGAGCGAGCTTTCAGGCGGACGGTTATTGCCGTTGCCCAGCTGAGTTAGTTAACTACTCCCCCCTCAGGAACAAGGCCTCCCTCGGCCGACCCTATTTGGGCAATCATCTCTGTTATCTGGGCCGCAGATCTCCTGGCCTGGATGACTCGCCGATAGGTCAAGCCGACGCAGATCAACGCGCAGCATATGGCTCCTGCCACTAGTATTATCTGATGTGAACGATAGTCGTTGATATCCTCCCCAAATCTCTTAATATGCTCCAGGTTACGCTCCTTCAAGCGGTGAAGGTAAGGAAGACTGAGGATGTTGTGCTCCATCGTTATATTCAAGGAGGGCGAGCTGGCTACTCCTGGGACCCTTTTCTGGGCGTTGTCGTGGTTGACATAACGGGTTTCATTTACCGTGGCACTCTCAGTAAAGGTAATGAGATGCGTGCCCCGTATGTGGACGTACATAGGTGCCATTGTCCACACTTATACGTGCCGGACGATCATTAACAATTATGATGCCTTCATCTACGCGAGTGACTGGGTGTAGATCGCTGTGCTGGATGTCACAGTGCGCTATGCCTCCAGCATGGAGCTCTTGTGCGGACGACCTTCTTAGCGCCAGCTGGCAAAATGTGGCCCCAGGTGTTGTGGAGCAATTGTTGACCGTATGGAGTTGTCCATTGCAATCTGCTATGATTTTGTCCTCCAGCCTGAGCATCGTGTCACGATGGGACACGGGAAAGATGGGGATTTTAATGCATGACGATTTGATAATAGGGAATTTAATAACAAAATGCAAAAGGTTAACGGACTGTAATATCTTAACGGAAGCAACGGACAATAAGTCTTTGACGGGGGTGTGTGTGGGCTCTTCTATCCATATATCTTCTAGGTCTGCATGATCTAGTATACTAGGGCTAACGATTTTGGCTTTAGCAAGAGCTATTGCTAGTAATAAGTTCTGCAGCTCCATACTAATCATTCTATTTCGGGATAATAGCATCTCATAAAGATGCCCCGAGTCGATTTGGACTCCCTTGGCCGACCTCAGAAGTTGGTTGACGGTGTTAGTGATATTATTAATCTGATCCTGTATTTTATTATTTATATTTATCTGCCTATTGTTTGCATTTATTAATTGAAATTCATTAAGTTTAATTTTTTTTAAATCCTCTGCATCAGGCGTTCCCGCCACTACCTTTAATGCTGCCCCTAGGAAATCTAAGCTCCTAGCTACCCTATGATGGATGCTCAACGAATCGCGCAGGTCACGCAGATGTGTAGTATGCACACATATTGAATACGCACTGTACCCAGAGTACTTAAGGAGTGCGCACTGTAATACAATGTTGCAGTGTTTATACAAATCAAAGTCCCGGTCATAAACCATAAGTGGCCGAAATATGAACCGATCGCTAAGGCTTAGCCTGCACTCAGAAAGTGCTAGTGTCGGCATATTTACATCGAATGGACTACACGCGCATACCCCCTCGCGCCTCCACTCGTGAGCGCATAGCCAATGTACATAAGTACATTTCCTTATACATAAGAATACTTATACATAACCGTCTCTCTGCCGCCGCCTGTGAGCAGCGCAGCTACGAGACCTAGCTTATATTATAACTTAAGGAATACTGTAAGATCACTAACTCTTGGAGCCTTGGAGCGGCATCATAGCTGCACCTATCAACCAACTGCTTAAACCCTGGAGCGGCACCATGGCCGCACCAAGACAAAAATCTATATAAAGAAACACAAATAAAAATCATACAATAATATCAAACTGAACTCCAGGACTTATCCTTGGGAGGAATAGTGGTTGGCAGTATAAACATATTTCATGGCGACCAGTGCCAGTGATTAAAGAACCTGCAAAAAGAAATAAAAGTGAAAGTGTACTAACAGAAAATAACAATGTCCTACCCTAAGCCCCAAGGGGTTAAAAGGAGCAACTTCCCCGCATTCTTGGAATGGGATGCGTTTGAAGTAATGTTCGGGATTATCGACAGAGGTGTTACAGACAGTGAAGACATCGCAATGGAAGTGAAAGCTTATTTTAACACCCACCATGGAGGAAATTGGCAGTGCATAGCGGGAAGAAATCTCGGAGCAGCAGTCGACGCCGCCCATGAAGAATTCATTCATTATTACTACGATATGGAAGTTGTGCTTTACCGACCTAAAGACAGCGCTACTCAGCAATAGAGCGTGATGAAAAGGGCTGGCGTGAAAAATCGCATGAAAAAGAGAATAGCCCAGTTAAAGTGGCTTTTATACACCAACGAGCCACCACCGCCGTGGGCTACAGCCCAGAAACTGCAAGAAGAACTAGATTTCCTAAAAACGGAAGTGAAAAAGCCGGCACCAAAAAGCCCAGCCACAACTCGCATCGCCAATAAACATATAAAAACGACACACAGCGACATAACCAAACCTCCACTTCCGAGGCCAAACCCGGCAAAACCACAAGCCTGCCCGGCCGACTGCCCCGGACCCCTCTTCTCTGCGGCATGCAAATATACATGCACGAGGCTGAATAATTAACCTGTGCGAAGACCAGCACCGGTACCGCCTGAGCCCATAGGCCCAGGACATCAGCAGCTGAAATACCAACCTGTGCGAAGACCAGCACCGGTACCGCCTGAGCCCATAGGCCCAGGACATCAGCAGCTGATAACACACGTGTGAGTGGCAGGCCGCCTCTTACACCTACGAGCGAGCGTCAGCGAAGCCAGGCCGGCGACGACCAGCTGACGCGACGCCACTGGATCTCGGGCAGCAGAAAAATATCATTTGCACTGCGTTGCATAATTTTTTGCGAGTGTACTGCGATGCACCTTTTTTTTACCCCCACCTTGTAAAATTGAGCGGAACCTTTTCTGTCCGATTAGTAGTGTAGCCTGTAAGGCTATGCGAAATATTAGGTAGGAATTTTGTAAAACCAGATGCGCGATAACGCGATTAACAAATTCCCAATAGAACCACACACTAATAGAATCAGTAAAATTTTTATAGACATCCAAAATAACACTGTGTATAAACCCAAAGTATCTGAAACAACAACAAAAATGACGCTTGACATCAAAACAGTGGATTCCACTGCCAATGTTATAAACAAAGTAGAGTCGAGCAACATCAATTTATACTGGGTACATATACTCCTGATAATCATTGTTGTTATTATGTGCGCTAGTTTCTTTTACCAAGTGTACAAGTTGCATAATAAATGCCTGAAAAAGAAGTATATGAGCCGAGGAAATGACCTCGATAAAATCTAACTAGAAAGCATAAAATAACAGCTATGATTAAACCCCACATATTAAAAAAAAAAAAAATGTGTTTTTTCAATAAACCACACAACAACACAAACACTTCAATTCTTTTCAATGGCTAAATGGACTGGAACACAATCTACAAAGACTTAGCAGACATAAAAACGAATTTTGACAAATCCTATAAATCTTTAGGCCAGAATAGACCAATCCAGAGTAATACACTTAGGAAACATGTCTGGATATTGGTAGAGTGCTTTAACGCAGCACGATTACTGATATATGAGCATAGAGATAGGTTAACTCAGGATCATTGGACCCAAGTATCTAAACTTC